TCCAGCACTGTATTATATAGTGCCAAATTCGTGCAAGATGAGCTTAGCGAGAGGGCTAATCTGTCTTTAGCGGGCCCGTAAACAAGTGATTGCCTATGTCCCGCTGCAAAAGGTGAAGTCTGTAGCGAGAATATTGCTCAAGAAGGTAGAAGTGGAGGTAATGGCCCACAAGGCTGGTTTAAAGATAACAAGTTCAAAGTTGGCAGCATATCCAGGGTAGTCAAACGTCCCCGCTTTATTATGTTTGTCACATTCTCGACAACTTTGACTACGTGAGAGCGCAGTTTTGGACTTGTTATCTTCAGACCCATGTTATTACGTGGAGCTTTCACCTTTTGGAAAAATTTTCTTGCTTCTGGCTTCATCTTTGCAGAGACCACACAGCTATGTGCCGCGTTGTACCATTTCAAAATCCTACCAACCTCATCTAGGTAGAAGATGACTTCAAAGTGCTATATAATATTATGAAAACTCCAGGTGTAGCTTCAGAATAACCTCAACGGCTTGATGCTCCCATAGTATGCCGTAAAAATAGCCTATTTTAGAGCAAACTAGATTGTGTATGTCATTTCAGTCTGACAACGATTTGGAGAGTGTCATTGGAAAAACAAATAACAAGGGAGAGTGGCTACCACTGCCGGAAAAGGAAAATCTCGTGAGTAATTCCTGCCTTTCCTTTCATATCTTAACGTTTCCTTCGCTTGTAGATGCCAGACCTGTCACGTCTTGATCCAGACGAAGTAGACAGACAAGACACCGACTATGATGACTATCTTGTCTTCGAAGGTCATCATTATCGCGTGTCTGCAAAGGATGAAGCTGCTTTTGAAGAACTACGACTGATGAGCTACGCTGAACCTCGTGCAAAACGTCGTCGAGTCGAAGGTATCGCAGATTTTTTTTCTTGCTTCTCATACCTATAATAGCCAGCTTCATTCAGAGAAGAGAGATGGTCAGGATTTCGATAAACCGTTGCTGTCTGCTAAAAAGCGCCGCCGTAGATTCAAAGGATTCCCTCTGGGCAACGCCAGCTCATTTGCGAATATAGACGAGCTACCAGACTATAAACTGATCAAGGATTTTCCCTCTCCCGTCGTATACTTCGTTGATCTTCCCGCCAACTGCAAAATCAGACGCCCAAGTTTCACTTCTATTTTGAGCGCGACTGGTCATTTGAAAATATAAGGATGATATTGTCAATATTTTCATTATCTTCCAGCTTTCAATTGATGAAACGAAGTATATTGTTGCTTACGAAAACTAGAGCCATGATTTCAGTGAAGTCGCTAACATTTTTTCATAGTGGAAGTAAGGGAAGGGAGCTAAAGGGGTGGTGGACAGAGTTCTGGAGAAGATCGAGCATGCGAACAAGTTTGTGACCTAATGGTTGGAAAACAAAAAATCATACATAAACAGACAAGTCCTTTTTGGGACATTGACTGGACTCTGGATGGAAGCAAAACAATTCCGTCGATTGTCGAAAAACTTCTTATCTTCAAACCTTCTACCTCTTCCGCTCCACTCCCTCCACCTCGAAAACTTGTGTATAGTTGTACAAATTCTTTATCATTGTATGTACATAGAAGGTGATCGAAGTTTGTAATGTTATGTAAGTTTGTTAGTTATGTAAGTTAGTTTGTGACGTTGTTTTTCTCTTTGATTATAATTTTCAACTTTTGGATCCGCATGTTTTATTCCTAATGCTCGTATCTTGTTCGCCTTTATGCGCTATTTTAGCTTAGAAGTTTCCTTATCACGCTGAAGTTCGCACATGTGTTCGTTTCCATAATGCTCTTTTTCTGAGCCAATAATACGTTATTATGAGTGTCGTTCCACGAAGAATTACATTTGTACGTAAAAAATATGCATTTTGAAGATGCTGATAAAGTTTTTGTTACCAGCGTTGCATTATGCTTTTGATCTAAAAGGGACATTTTAGCAGTACTTTATCACATTTTCCTCCTTTTTCCCCTCAATCTCTTCGCTCGATAAGTTAGATATTGTCCGCTCACTGGAATTACCTCTTGCCTAGC